TGCTGGCTGTCTCATCCTTCGGCACCTGGCCCGCTGGTCCCCAGGACCTCTGCGACCTGATGCAGGAGCCCCTTGGTGTGGCCTCAGCAGGTGGTTCTCTCCCTGTGGCCACAGTGTACTTTCTGCTGCTTAGATTTTACTTGTTCTTGCTTGTTTCTTGGTGGTGGTTTGTTGTTGTTGTTTTGAGTCTGGTTCTTTGTCTTTTCTGTCCATGTTATAAAATTCATCTAAAGAATTGCTTGTTAACTTTGGTTTCTGTTCTATATGAACAAGTCCCTCGATGTAGCTACTTTCCTCACTTCTCAATTCTTTTTTTCTCATCTGAGACTGAGTGTTTTTTTAAAATATGTTTTTATTGATTTCAAAGAGGAAGGTGAGGGAGAGAGAGAAACATCAATGATGAGAGAGAATCATTGATCAGCTGCCTCCTGCACACCCAACACTGGGATTGAGCCTGCAACCCGGGCCTGTGCCCTTGCCCAGAATTGACCTGGGACCCTTCAGTCTGCAGGCTGACACTCTATCCCAGGGGTGCGCAAACTTTTTGACTCGAGGGCCACAATGGGTTCTTAAACTGGACCGGAGGGCCGGAACAAAAGCATGGATGAAGTGTTTGTGTGAACTAATATAAATTCAAAGTAAACATCATTACATAAAAGGGTACGGTCTTTTTTTTTTTTTTAGTTTCATTCATTTCAAACGGGCCGTAGTTTGCCCACGGCTGCTCTATCCACTGAGCCAAACCGGCCAGGACAGACTGAGTTATCTTTTTTGCTCTTCTTGCCCAGGGCTGGCTCCACCCTCCTTTTGTCTCCTGCAGATCATTTCCTGAAGCTAAAACCTAAGCACTTTCCCTGAATTTAAGAAACCTTCCAGCCAGCACCGCCTCCCTGGCTCTTCCTGTGGCTGTTCATCTTCAGGTCCACACGACCCCTCTTCCTGGAAGCACAGAGCTTGGGACAGAGGGATTCAAGTCCCCAGGTTCAACTCCTGCCTCTACTGTTTACTCCTGTGTGACTTTGTGCCCAGTTCTTAATTTCTTTGTATCTCAAATTCCTCATCTGAACGATGGGCATAATAATATACAGGTTATACTGTTGAGTAAGAATTAAGTTCATGAAGAATGTAAAGTTCCTAAGACAATGCTTGGCTATAGCGAATGCTGAGAAACAATAGCTATTATTGCCTTGGCTGGTGTTGCTCAGTGGGTTGGGCGTCATCCCGTGCACCGAAGGGGTTGCTGCTTTGATTCCCGGTCAGGGCACATGCCTGGGTTTCAGGCTCCATCCCTGGTGGGGTCCATGCAGAAGGCAGTCGATTGATGCTTTGCTCTCACATTGATGTTTCTCTCCCTCTCCCTTCCTCTCTCTCTCTCTCAAAATCAATAAAAAATCGTGGGAGACGGGGTGGAGGTCTTGGCTGCACTGCGCTTTATGGCCACAAGAGGGCTCACAGCTCACAAACGTTTCTTCCTGTAAATCTTCATGTTCTTTTTTGCGTCTCATTGAAGCGTTTGAAAAATTGCTACTTAATTATGCACGATTTCTGGACAATTGCAAGCACTTCTATGATAGCTACACATTAATTTTGGCACCTTAATCTTAGGGTGGAGGTCTTGGCTGCACTGCGCTTTATGGCCACAAGAGGGCTCACAGCTCACAAACGTTTCTTCCTGTAAATCTTCATGTTCTTTTTTGCGTCTCATTGAAGCGTTTGAAAAATTGCTACTTAATTATGCACGATTTCTGGACAATTGCAAGCACTTCTATGATAGCTACACATTAATTTTGGCACCTTAATCTTATGAATGCTTAAAGGCGTTTTCTCATGCAGAGCAATTCAGATGCTAATGATTAAATCAAAGGATTGTTTTTAGAATTTCCTGGAGATTTTTCCTTTGAAATGAAACTTCCCCAGTAAAAGTTTCCTTCCCTCGTGCTCTCGATCACCCATTGGGGTCACGTTCACAGTGGCAATTGTGCTCTCCCTGTCACGCCAAGTTCCTGCCTCGGCGTCAGATTGGTCAGGCACCTGCACGAGCATCGAGTCCTGCTTACTGATTCGCTGCACAGCCCTCCAGGTCAAGCTGGAGAAAAGGAAAAAGAGGAATCGACAACAGCAGATCTGGGACGTCACTGTGCAACAGGGTTCACGCTGAGATGCCAGGTCGGCACAAGCACAGGCAGGGAAAACGCAGGCCCAGCCCTTGCTCAGATGGAGAGAACGCCCCGTGGTCATGGTGACTCCCGTTCATGGAGGTCAGCAGCAGCCTTGAGTCCCCTCCCCCCATCAGGCTCGCTTTCCTGCCCTGGTTCCTCTGAGCAGCGGCCGTGCTAAGCAGGTGCTCAGGCGGTCACGGGCAGAGGTTCCCAGCCACGTACTCACCCAGCAGCATGCGGCCGTGGCGTTGGCCACCGACCTCCGTCACGTATAATAAGGGTCTGCCGTCGGGATGGGATTGGGACTCAGTCTCCTGAGTAGAGGGGCCTTTGCAGAAGGCGGTGACGCTGACCCCAGAAGCAAGACCTTGAGAGCAGATGTCTTCAGTGCTCAGCCATCTCACGAGAGGCGTGTTGGTTTCCCTCGGTCGTGAACGCCTTGCCGGCTGTCTCATCCTTCGGCACCTGGCCCGCTGGTCCCCAGGACCTCTGCGACCTGATGCAGGAGCCCCTTGGTGTGGCCTCAGCAGGTGGTTCTCTCCCTGTGGCCACAGTGTACTTTCTGCTGCTTAGATTTTACTTGTTCTTGCTTGTTTCTTGGTGGTGGTTTGTTGTTGTTGTTTTGAGTCTGGTTCTTTGTCTTTTCTGTCCATGTTATAAAATTCATCTAAAGAATTGCTTGTTAACTTTGGTTTCTGTTCTATATGAACAAGTCCCTCGATGTAGCTACTTTCCTCACTTCTCAATTCTTTTTTTCTCATCTGAGACTGAGTGTTTTTTTTAAAATATGTTTTTATTGATTTCAAAGAGGAAGGTGAGGGAGAGAGAGAAACATCAATGATGAGAGAGAATCATTGATCAGCTGCCTCCTGCACACCC